ATAGATGATAGATAACTTGATATAGATAAGATAGATGATCAATTGGATAATTAGGTACAATGGATAGATACATTAGATAGATGATAGATTAGGTAGACAGATGATAGGTGAGTAGGTAGATAGATACAGATGATAGATTAGATAGATGATAGATAACTAGATATAGCCAAGATAGATGATCAATTAGATAATGAGATACAATTGATAGATAACATTAGATAGATGATAGATAACTAGATATAGCCAAGATAGATGATCAATTAGATAATGAGATACAATTGATAGATAACATTAGATAGATGATAGATAACTAGATATAGCCAAGATAGATGATCAATTAGATAATGAGATACAATTGATAGATAACATTAGATAGATGATAGATAACTAGATATAGCCAAGATAGATGATCAATTAGATAATGAGATACAATTGATAGATGCATTAGATAGATGATAGATAACTAGATATAGCCAAGATAGATGATCAATTAGATAATGAGATACAATTGATAGATAAAATTAGATAGATGATAGATAACTAGATATAGCCAAGATAGATGATCAATTAGATAATGAGATACAATTGATAGATAACATTAGATAGATGATAGATAACTAGATATAGCCAAGATAGATGATCAATTAGATAATGAGATACAATTGATAGATAACATTAGATAGATGATAGATAACTAGATATAGCCAAGATAGATGATCAATTAGATAATGAGATACAATTGATAGATAACATTAGATAGATGATAGATAACTAGATATAGCCAAGATAGATGATCAATTAGATAATGAGATACAATTGATAGATAACATTAGATAGATGATAGATAACTAGATATAGCCAAGATAGATGATCAATTAGATAATGAGATACAATTGATAGATAACATTAGATAGATGATAGATAACTAGATATAGCCAAGATAGATGATCAATTAGATAATGAGATACAATTGATAGATAACATTAGATAGATGATAGATAACTAGATATAGCCAAGATAGATGATCAATTAGATAATGAGATACAATTGATAGATAACATTAGATAGATGATAGATAACTAGATATAGCCAAGATAGATGATCAATTAGATAATGAGATACAATTGATAGATAACATTAGATAGATGATAGATAACTAGATATAGCCAAGATAGATGATCAATTAGATAATGAGATACAATTGATAGATGCATTAGATAGATGATAGATTAGGTAGACAGATGGGTGAGTAGGTAGATAGAGATAGATAGGTAGGTAGGTAGATACAGAGATACCTAGATAGGTGATAAGAGCTGTAAGATAGAAAAAATAGATAGATAGAAGATAGATAACTAGATATGACAGATTAGATGATAGGTAAGTAGGTGAATATTCAGATACATACAGATGATAGATGATAGATAATAATGATTGATAGATATATTAGATAGATGATGGATTTGTTAGATGATAGGTAATTAGGTGGATAGACAGATAGATAGATGTCTAGATAGGTGATAGATTAGCAAGACAGGAAAATTACACAGATAGAAAGATAGATAGATAATTAGATGTGACAAGATAGATTGGATAGATGATAGGTAAGTAGGTAGAGAGACAGATAAAGATAGCTAGGCAGACAGATGGACAGATGAGTGAGACAGATAAATTAGGCAGGTACTTCTCCCTGCATAGGTCTGTAGAAATGCCGACGCAAGCACAGCGAGGGAACCAAGTAGGGAAGGGTTGGATGGGAAGCTCTGTTGGTGCAGAGGACCAGGCGTGTGAGCATCTCAGACGCGGCTCTGCGATGTGGCCACAGGTCATCGCACACCCAGGAAGCATTCTCAGCCTCCAAGCACACTAACAAACACAGTGAGGGTCTTGGTGAGGCCCCGCTCTGGGGCTTCACTTCCGAAGTTGCTCACCTTTTTGTGTTCGATCATGTTTCTGCTACTTACTCCTTAAAGTCTCATGACGTGTGTTTCCTGAACCTCACGTGCCAAGAAAAAAAAACAAAAACAAAAACAAAAACAGGGGAATTGCATGGACTCCGTCACCCAGACTTACTAACAGGCTGCTCACTCTCCCTCAACGCTGTGAGCTTTGGAAGGAACCCTTGTCATAATCCCGGGAGTTACATGGGAACGTGTGCCCTTCACCAGTGGGATGGGAATAATGGTGCTACCTTGCAGGGTTGTTGTAAGAATTTAACACGCTACGACGTAGACTTACATGGCGATATTGCTCAAGCACTCGTTTTTTTTGTTTTGTTTTGTTTTGCTTTGCTTTTGAGACAGAGTTTCACTCTTGTTACCCAGGCTGGAGTGCAATGGTGCGATCTCGGCTCACCGCAACCTCCGCCTCCTGGGTTCAGGCAATTCTCCTGCCTCAGCCTCCCGAGTAGCTGGGATTACAGGCACGCACCACCATGCCCAGCTAATTTTTTGTAATTTTTAGTAGAGACGGGGTTTCACCATGTTGACCAGGATGGTCTCGATCTGTTGACCTCAGGATCCACCCGCCTCGGCCTCCCAAAGTGCTGGGATTACAAGTGTGAGCCACCGCGCCCAGCCGAATTTGTTTTTTGAGACAAAGTCTTGCTCTGTCACCCAGGCTGGAGTGCAATGGCTCAATCTCAGCTCATGGCAACTTCTGCCTCTGGGTTCAAGTGATTCTCCTGCCCCAGCCTCCTGAGTAGCTGGGATTACAGGTGCATGCTGCCATGCCTGGCTAATTTTTGTATTTTTAGTAGAGACGAGATTTCACCACATTGGTCAGGCTGGTCTCAAACTCCTGACCTCAAGTGATCCACCTACTGAGAGGGATGCTTTTTAGTTTTGGTTATTCTTTTTTTTTTTTTTGAGACAGAGTCAAGCTCTGTCGCCCAGGCTGGAGTCCAGTGGTGCAATCGCAGCTCACTGCAACCTCCGCCTCCCGGGCTCAAGCCATTCTCCTGCCTCAGCCTCCGAAATATCTGGGATTACAGGTGCCCGCCACCACACTCAGCTAATTTTTGTATTTTTAGTAGAGATGGGGTTTCACTGTGTTGCTGGTCAAGCTGGTCTCAAACTCCCGACCGCATGATCTGCCTCCCTCGGCCTCCCAAAGTGCTGGGATTACAAGTGTGAGCCACCGTGCCTGGCCTAGATTTGGTCATTCTTATTTATTTATTTAGAACTGGAGTCTCGCTCAGTCGAGTGCAGGATGCAGTGGCATGACCTTGGCTCACTGCAACCTCTACCTCCTGGGTTCAAGGGATTCTGCTGCCTTGGCTTCCTGAGTAGCTGGGATTACAGGTGTGAGCCGACACGCCCAGCCGATTTTTTGTATTTCTAGTAGAGACAGGTTTTCACCATGTTGGCCAGGCTGGTCTCGAACTACAAACCTCAAGTGATCATCCATCTTGGCCACCCAAGGTGCCGGGATTACAGGCCTGAGCCACCACGCCTGGCCATTAGTCTTTCTTTTCCACCCTGGTTTAACCCTGTTCTTGTTAGGAATCCTCCCTGAGTTCTCCCAGCTGATCCCTTGCCATTCTGGTGTCCGAGGGAATCATGTGTTCTTCAGAGAACCTCACCCTTCCCCATGCCTTCCGTGCCCATGTCACTGCTGTTCATTACCTGGCATCAACAAGCTCACTGAAGCGTGTCTGAAGTTGGCTGGGCACGGTGGTCTGTACTCTCAGCTACTCTGGAGACTGAGTGAGGAGGATGGCTTAAGCCCAGGAATTTCAGTATGGCTGCGTCACTGCACTCCAGCCTCGACAACAGAGTGAGACTCTGTCTCTTTAAAAAAAAGAAAATAAAGGAAAAGAACCAATAGAACATATACATGAATATACATAGAGAGACTTGATCTTGTAGCTTGTATGGAGGCAGAATTCCTCCCTCCTTGGGGGACGTTGGTCTTGTCTCTTAAGCCTTTAACTGATTGGATGAGGCCCACTCATGTGACAATGGGTCATCTGCTTTACTCAAAGTCTGTTGGTCGAAATGTTCATTACAGACAGGCGCGGTGGCTCACCTGTAATCCCAGCACTTTGGGAGGCCAAGGCGGGCGGCTCACTTGAAGTCACGAGTTTGAGACCAGCCTGCCCAACATAGTGAAACCCCATCTCCACTAAAAATACAAAAATTAGCTGGGCATGGTGGTGCACGCCTGTAATTCCAGCTACTCGGGAGGCTGAGTCAGGAGAATTGTTTGAACTTGGGAGGTGGAGATTGCAGTGAGCCGAGATTTGTACTCCAGCCTGGGTGACAGAGTGAGACTCCATGTCAAAAAAAATTATGTATATATATGTTATACACACACACACACACACACTCACACACACACACAATATATATATGAAGCACCTGGCACAGAGCTGGCTCATAGTAAATGATCAGTATCATGGCTATGCACCAGCCACTCCCTTGGAATTTTCTATGCACTAAACACTGTTCCTTTTTTTTTTTTTTTCTGGAGTCTCACTCTGTCACCCAGGCTGGAGTACAATGGCATGGTCTCAGCTCACTGCAACCTCTGCCTCCCAGGTTCGAGTAGTTCTCCTGCCTCGGCCTCCTGAGTAGCTGGGACTACAGGCACGTGCTACCACACCCGGCTAATTTTTGTACTTTTAGTAGAGACGGGGTTTCACTGTGCTGGCCAGGCTGGTCTCGAACTCCTGACCTTGTGATCCACCCACCTTGGCCTCCCACAGTGTTGGGATTACAGGTGTGAGCCACTGCGCCTGGGCGGTTCCAGCCTTCTCTATGGGTACTGACCCACCATCCACTACAGTAGCTACTGCTGCTACCCTCACTTTACAGACGAGGAAACAGAAGCTTGGAGAAGATTAAGGTAATTCCCCAAAGCAATAGGAAGTTCCAGATCCGAGGTGGGAGATCCAGGCTTGGAAGCCAGGCTGTCTGGCTGGCTCCTCTTAGCTTTTCTGCTCACCCTCTCAGCGCATTTCAGGAGCCAGGCTGATTCCCTGACCTGCTCTTCCTCTCTAGACACCAGAGCCATCTTTGTCAGCATCTTCAGCTGTGTCTCCATCCTTCTCCTCTTCCTCTTAGTCATCGTCATCTACAGATGCAGCCAGAACGGTGAGCTCAGAGAGCACAAAGGGAGAGAGGGAGGGCGAAGCGTTTTCTCAGTAGGTACATTCCTCCTGCATTTTTTATAGGTTCCTCGCCTGAAGAATCCTCCAAGAGGTACACGCTGGGCATAGCGTATGCTCCACCCAATTCCCATGTCATTCTCCAGGGAATCCACTGGCACATCCAGGACTGGTGCCCTAAGCCCCTACTCCTGCCCGGCCTGTGACCTCCTCTCCCCTCCATAGCCCTCACCCTCTCCCCCCAGTCTTCACATCCCGTCCTTTCATGTGTTTCTCTCTCTTAGAACCAGTCATTCCAAACTTCCAGAACGAGAGGCTGCTGGTAAGGGATAGGGGAAGGGAATAACCAGACAGAAAGGCTAAGTTCTGGCTGGGTACAGTGGCTCACGTCTGTAACTCCAGCACTTTGGGGGGCTGAGGTGGGTGGATCACGTGGGGTTGGGAGTTCAAGACCAGCCTGGCCAACATGGAGAAACCCCATCTCTACTGAAAATACAAAATTAGCTGGGCACGGTGGCGCGTGCTTGTGATCCCAGCTACTCGGGAGGCTGAGGCAGGAGAATCACTTGAACGCAGGAGGCAGAGGCTGCAGTGAGCTGGGATCGCGCCATTGCACTCCAGCCTGGGCAGCAAGAGTGAAACTCCATCTCAAAAGAAAGAAAGGAAAGAAAGGAAGGAAGGAAGGAAGGAAGGGAGGGAGGGAGGGAGGGAGGGAGGGAGGGAGGGAGGGAGGGAGGGAAGGAAGGAAGGAGAAGAAAAGGAAGGAAGGAAGGAAGGAAGGAAGGAAGGAAGGAAGGAAAGAAAGAAAGAAAGACTGAGTTCTGATATCTGCAGCTGAGACCTGATTTTTTTTCTCTCTCTCTCACTCAGATACAGATTTATTCAAGATGGAAAGGGTATATGTCTCGGTGAGTCCTCCAGCTTGGGAGTCCTTCACCATGACAGGAGTTCGAGACCAGCCTGACGAACGTGGTGAAACCTGTCTCTACCTATGAGTCCCTCCCTTACCACGCTGGGCTGGTAGTGTCTGTCTGCTGGTTAAGCCCACACAGAAATGTCCACTGTTTATCACCCATGTGATCGTAGACGAGTCACAAAACTCTCATAACGGGAACCAAAATCTCCATTTAAAAGGCTTATGCAGATCCATTGATGTCACAAATAAAGGGTTTAAAAACAGGAAAGAGGCCGGGCACGCGGTGGCTCACGCCTGTAATCCCAGCACTTTGGGAGGCCGAGGCGGGCGGATCACCAGAGGTCAGGTGTTCAAGACCAGCCTGGCCAACATGGTGAAGCCTCGTCTCTACTAAAAATACAGTAATTAGCCGGGATAGGCGGGTGCCTGTAATCCCAGCTACTCAGGAGGCTGAGGCAGGAGAATCGCCTGAACCCAGGAGGCGGAGGTTGCGGTGAGCCGAGATCGCGCCATTGCACTCCAGCCTGGGTAACAAGAGCGAAACTCCGTCTCAAAAATAAATAAAATAAATAAATAATAAAAACAGAAAAGAAAAAGAAATGCATCTCGCGTGACCGAGGACCTGGATTTTAAATTTAACTGTAATTAATTTAAACGTCAAGAGCCATGGGTGGCTAGTGGTTGCCATACTGACCACTAGTGTTCAATGCGTGTCTGTGTTCGTGTGTTTTCCCCAAAGACCGCAGACCCCCAAGGAGTGACCTCTGCTGAGCTAAGCACCCACGCCCTGTCTGAGGCAGCTGCTGACACTACCCTGGAGCCCCCAGGATCTCACGAATATGTGGCACTGAAAGTGTAGCAACAAGACAACACAGGCCACCGAAGGAGGGGGTATTGTGCCGGCTGAGGTCATTGAAAATGTGGAGATGTGGATGACCGTGTCCCTTGCTTCTCATTCGTATCAATAAAATTAAGTTTCTCATCTTAAAAAGAAATCTGGCTTATTTACGGAGTATTCATGCCCCAGAACCCCACCACACTCTTTCTACCCCACATTTCCTCCTAGAACAATTCAAGGGAATAATTATTATTGATCAGCTATCCAGCAGAGAATGCAAGTATTATTGAACCTCTCCAGGAAGCACAACAAACAAAAGAGAAAATGGCCAGGGGGCCGGGCTTGGTGGCGCACGCCTGTAATCCAGCACTTCAGGAGGCTGAGGCAGGTGGCTCGGCTGAGGTCAGAGTTCAAGACCAGCCTGGCCAACATGGTGAAATCCCATCTCTATTAAAAATACAAAATTAGCTGGGTGTGGTGATGGGCGCCTGCAATCCCACTTACTCGGGAGGGTGAGGCAGGAAAATCGCTTGAACCCAGGAGGCAGAGGTTGCAGTGAGCCGAGATGGCACCATTGCACCCCAGCCTGGTCAACAGGGTGAGATTCCACCTCAAACAAACAAACAAACAAAAAGCCCAGACCTGCAAATTCCTAGACCAGAGAACAGAAAACAAAAGGAGCAGAGAGTAACATTTCCAGCTTTGTGGGTGGTAGGATCTCTGCTGAGGTTACCCCATTCTGTTGTACCATGAAAGCAGCCATTGCTGATATGTAAACAAGAAGTAGGTGTGGTGGTGTTTGAATAAAACTTTATTTACAACCTCATGTTCTCACTCATATGTGGGAGCTAAAAAGGTGGACCTCGTGAAGGTAAAGAGAGAGTGAGTTATCAGAGGCTGGAAGGGGCGGGTTAGTTAATGGGCACAAACGCGGAGAGGAAGAATAAGTGAAGTGTTGGGCAGCACAGAAGGGTGACTACAGTTTATAACAATGTATTGTACAGTTCACAACAGCTAGAGGAGGAGATTTGAAACATCCCCAACACAGATGATAAACGAGCCGGGCGCAGTGGCTCACTCCTGTACTCCCAACACTTTGGGAGGCTGAGGCGGGTGGATCACCTGAGGTCAGTGTTTGAGACCAGCCTGGCCAACATGGAGAAACCTCATCTCTACTAAAAATACAAAATTAGCCGGGTGTGGTGGCGCACGCCTGTAATCCCAGCTACTCGGGAGGCTGAGGCACGAGAATTGCTTGATCCTGGGAGGCGGAGGTTGCCGTGAGCCAAGATGGTGCCACTGCACTCCAGCCTGGGAAACGAGAGCGAAACTCCATCTCAGAACAACAACGTCTACAAACCCTGATTCCCGAATGCTCGGGGAGACTAGAGCTGCAGTCTCCCACGCAGTCAGCTCTGTGCGAATCACTCTTTCTCCACTGCAATTCTCCTGTCTTGATAAATCACCTAGGCAGCGGGCAAGGTGAACCCATTGGGTGGTTACAAATCTGGGGACTCGTCTGGGATGGTCTTGTGGCTACCTGCTCATGGTTTGGTACCCCCGCTCCAGTGATGGGTGCAGCAGCCAGCCCAAATGACCACCTAGTTCTCTTGGTCTAGGGGCTGACTCTGGCACCGTCTCCACTGGTGGGGCGCTGCCAACCCAATGTACATGGATTACATTGCAATTCCCCTGTCTTGATAAATTGGTTCTGTCTAGGCAGCGGGCAAGGAGAGCCCACTGGGCAGCTCACCTCTCAAAGGCCCTACCTTCTAATGAAGCATTGAGGGAATGTATTCTCTTCCCGGGTCCACAACGGGGCATGGTTTCAAAGGCAAGAACTTCCCAGCGCCATACCTCCACCTACCTCTCCGTCCGGGAGCTTAGAGGTCTTTGTCGAACTTTCCCGGCAGGAGGATACACTGCGCAGGCGAGCTTTTCTAAACACAGAGAAGCCCAAGGGAGGACTCTGGAACAGACAACCAATCAAAGGTCAGAATCAAAGACCAGTCACTCCAGAGGAAGTTTAAAAGAACTCCTTTCAGCCCGGCGCAGGCGGGTGGATCACGAGGTCAAGAGATCGAGACCATCCTGGTCAACATGGTGAAACCCCGTCTCTACTAAACATACAAAAAATTAGCTGGGCATGGTGGTGCACCGCCTGTAATCCCAGCTACTCGGGAGGCTGAGGCAGGAGAATTGCTTGAACCCAGGAGGCGGAGGCTGCGGTGAGCTGAGGTCACGCCATTGCACTCCAGCCTGGGTAACAAGAGCGAAACTCCGTCTCAAAAAAAAAAAAAGAACTCCTTTCACAGGACAAGAAACTTGAACAGGGTGGGAATAACTCCCAGGTTAAAAGTCCCCTTCTCTCTCATCTGGTCGGACTCCATCTCTGGATCCCCCTCCACGACGTCGTGGGAGCTGCCTTTCCTTCTCCTTTTTCTCTCTCTCTCTGCCTAAATAAATCACTTTCTGCAAAACTCTTTGGGATCCAATATTTACTTAAAACCAGCTCACTGTGCTGGGCGGGGTCCTCTCCCTGATTCTTGGGTGAGTGAGGGACCAAGGGCCTGGAAGAACACATCCTACTGGGGAGCAGCCTGAGCCCATCACCCGCGATTTGGTTACAGCATCATTGTCTGGGGTAAGTACCTGAGGTTCAGACGAGATGCCAGAAAAATTGGGGATGCAGACATAAAAGAAGTGAATTTAAGAGTGGAGATTTAATAAGCAAAAGAAAGAGAAAACGGAAACGCTTCCCTAAAATGTGTAAAGCCAAGCTGGGCCCCAGCCACCTTGGGTGCATGTTCTCGGGACCTCCTGAGGGCTGCATCACAGGCCATGGTCATTACCATCCTTGGCTCAGAATAACTCTCTTCAAATAATTTACAGAGTTTCACTCTTCTTGTCGATAAGAGTTAAGTCCTGAAATGTGCTTGTTTTCTTTCCGTTAGCATTTGAATTACGTATCTTTTCTCTATTCTTTTTTTTTTTTTTGAGATGGAGTCTCACTCTGTTACATAGGCTGGAGTACAGTGGCACAATCTCAGCTCACTGCAACCTCTGCCTTCTGGGTTCAAGCAATTCTTCTGTCTCAGTCTCCCAAACAGCTGGGATTACAGGCACGCACCACCATTCCCGGCTAATTTTTCTATTTTTAGTAGAGACGGGATTTCACCATGTTGGCCAGGCTGGTCTTGAGCTCCCGACCTCAAGCTATCCACCTGCCTCAGCCTCCCAAAGTGCTGCGATTACAGGTGTGAGCCACCACGCCCGGCCTATTCATTTACGTTCAACCTTTCCATGCCTTTATGTCTCTTGGAAATATAACAATTTTTTTAGTTCAACCAAATGTTGTTTTCCTAACCTGATCCTTTGGTTCATTCGCATATATTTGTGTGAGAGAGAGAGAGAGGCTCCCGAGTGGGACTTCCGATCTTGTGGTGAAATGCACAGGAGTTTTATAGATGAGCTTGAGGAGGCAGTGTCTCATTTACATAGGGCCTGAGAGATTGGTTGGACCAGCTGTGACGTCTGCATAGCCCATGAAGAAGCAGGCCATCCCACCCCAATCTTTCATGCAGGTGGGGTCTCTACCTCGCCAGGGCCATGATTCCTGCTCTTTTACTGCACATGTGGGGACAAAGAAAAAGGGAGAGTGAGCCTCCATGTAGAATAAACCCTGCTCCAGGGTATCCCTTTTCTACGGGCACAGCTGCTGGCATTTACCTATGCAAGCTGTTAGCTTGCTTATCTATGCTTGCACCTTGATTTTTCAGGCTGCTTTCTTTTAGAGAAGAAACGATTTGGGGGCTGCTCTTTAGGAATGGAAAACCTTACTGAGGACTGTCTTACCCTCACTGTCTGCCTAAATAATTTCGTTTTAGCTCCTGTATTACTAATACCGTGAGCTGTTGGGGTTAGGTTCCAGCATCTGAGTTTTGTCGGGACACAAACACTGAGTTTACAATACCCATGAAGCTGTCCCCCGCTTGACTCTTGTCCTAACCAGAGGCTCCCAGGAATGCTGCAACAGAAGGAACAACCTTGATATGGCTTGTGTCTGTGTCCCCACCCAAATCTCATCTTCAGTTGTAGCTCCCATAATTCCCATGTGTTGTGGGATGGACCCAGTGGGAGATAATTCAATCGTGGGGGCAGATTCCCCACTACTATTCTCATGATAGTTAACAAGTGTTGGAAATGGGTTTATAAGGCCAGGAAAAATCCACACCGAGACAATGGATGACTCAGCAAGGCTAGTTTTACTTCCTGCAGGAAGGGGGCAACGCCCTGGCAGTGTTGCCATGAGAGCACACCTGAACAAAGGGGACAGGGACATTCATAACTTTCATAACCTGACACAGTTGCCCTACTGCTGTGTCCAGTTTCCATTGGCCAGAATGGGACCTCACAATCTGTGCTTGACCCAATTGGCTAAAAACTTGGAAATTTTTTTTTTTTTTTTGAGACGGAGTTTCGCTCTTGTCACCCAGGCTGGAGTGCAATGGTGCCATCTCGGCTCACCGCAACCTCCACCTCCTGGGTTCAGGCAATTCTCCTGCCTCAGCCTCCTGAGTAGCTGGGATTATAGGCACGCGCCACCATGCCCCGCTAATTTTTTGTATTTTTAGTAGAGACAGGGTTTCACCATGTTGACCAGGATGGTCTCGATCTCTTGACCTTGTGATCCACCCGCCTCGGCCTCCCAAAGTGCTGGGATTACAGGCTTGAGCCACCGCGCCCAGCCCTAAAACTTGGAAATTTTTTTAAAGAGGTAAAGGCAGAGGAGAACAAAGGAAAAGAGGAAGTAACTTGAGGAATGCTTAGAGAAGCGATGAGGTTTCCAAATAAGGAAGGGGAGTAAGCTGTAATCTAAGACTTGCCTGGGCTTGTCCAGGCATGTCAGGACAAATTCTAGGTTAAAGTGTAAGAACTAAGAACACGGGATGTGCTTATTTCCTTATTATGACTAACAACTGCTTTAAGATTATTAGCAAAAGGTTTAAAGTAAATGAACCTATTATTTATTTGTAATGAACTAAGAGGAAAGCTTTGAAGAGGAACCTATTATTTATT